CTTCTGAGTATCTGAGCAGCTCTCTCTCTCACACTGGAATTCCTTTTACCTGTAATGATTTTCTGTTTCACGTCACTGAATTCTCATTTCCTCTCTAGAGAGAGAAGATTATGTAAATTTTGTACTACCATGGTATTTTTTAAATTACAAGTTCAACTCAATCATGAAATAGGAAGAGGATATTAATTAATGTTACAAGGGTGACATACTTCATGTAGAATTTTACTTAGATTATACGTAAGGGCGATGATAAATTCTGCTTTATCCCCATTTTGAAGTTCATTCAACTATTTCAAGATAAAACAAGCTAATCATATTCCTAGAAATTGTTATAGGACCATGAATCCCCATTCATAGTGTGAATTCCCATTTTAAGTTCAAATATTTGTTATGATAATACAAGCTAATCATATTCCTATAATTTATGTATATTTTCAGTTTTATCCCCTTTGTGCCCTAATCACTAAAGAATTTGTATTTATCACTGGTCTTCTCTCCCCTTGTCCATCCATGTGTCTGCATTATTGACCTTTGGTTAATGAGTGCTATCTATATCCTTTTTCCCACATGCAAAATTGTAGTCTAGGTTCAGTGACTCTTAAATTTAGATGCTTATAAGAATCACCTATTATGTTTTGTTTATTTTTGTATTTCTTTTTTTATTTAATGTTTATTTATTTTTGAAAGGGACAGAGAGCTAGGGAGGGACAGAGATATATATATAGAGAGAGAATCCCAAGCAGGCTCCACACTGGGAGCGAAAGAGCCTGCATGTGGGGCTTGATCTCACGGCCCACGAGAGCAGGACCTGAGCTAATATCATGATCAGGATGCTTAACCGACTGAGCCACCCAGGCACCCCAATGTATTTCTTTTTTTTTTAAGTTTATTTATTCATTTTGAGAGAGAGAGAGAGCAAGCACAAGTGGGGGAGATGCAGAGAGAGACGGAGAGAGAGAATTCCAAGCAGGCTCCATACTGACAGCACAGAGCCCTACATGGAGGTTGAGCTCACAAACCATGAGGTCATGACCTGAGCCGAAGTCCAGAGTCAGACTCTTAACCCACTGAGCCACCCAAGTGCTCCTATTTTTATATTTCTTTGTTTTTAAAATACACATGGCAGAACACTTGGAGATTTTCCATTCAGGCAGGTAACATTAGGCATCTGTAAATCCAACAGATTTCCATAGATTATTGTTAATGCCTTTGTCTATGTCTGTGGGTGCCCATAGTTCTATGCTCATTGTCACATTCTCCTTGGAAATCATTGAAAACATCAAGACTTGGGCCTTCTCCTTGGTCATATCTTAGCCATATGTTAATACTTCCCTAATCTGATTTGTAATTGGTTTGAAGAGTCAGTTTTTATTCATATTTGTATTCTGTGATTGTAGTGGTTTTTCCTGTTCTAAATACCTTGAATATTTTATAGTAGTAATTAAGTATGTTCCTCATTTTCACCAATGTGCTGAACTCCTAATACTGCATTGGTAAGAAAATCTGTGTCCACATTTTTTTTTTTAGGAAACATAATATATTTAAATAAAAATTAGACTTTTTTTTTTGAGAGAGAGAGAGAGAGCAGGATGAGGGGGGAAAGAGAAGAAGAAGAAGAAGAAGAAGAAGAAGAAGAAGAAGAAGAAGAAGGAGGAGGGAGAGGAGGAGGAGGAGGGAGAGCAGAAGAAAGAGAGAGAGAGAGAGAGAATATCTTAAGCAGGCTCCAGGCTTAGCATGGAGCCAAAAGCAGGGCTTGATCCTAGAAACCTCGGATCATGACCTGAGCCAAAATCAAGAGTCAGGTGCTGAGCCATCCACACTGAGCCATCACACTTGCCTAGAAATGTTAATTTGTGACTACAAAAGAATTTTTACTTTGCTTAGGGGTTCAAAACCAAATGTTTGTAATTTATCAACAATTTAAAAGAGGGGCTGGAGAGAGAAAAATTAAAACATCGTGAGTGAGATTGTTAATGAAACTTGCTATTTTAAGGTTAATTAGAAAACTAAAAATTTAAAACCCTACATGGTTTTCTAAAATTTATTTTTTTACTTAACCTAGGGCTGTATCCAGATGAGATTATCAAGAGCATAAGAATCCACTGGGGTTCTAAACTTCAGGGAAAGAACAGGGAAATAATAAAGAACAAAGGGGAGAAAGTTAATACACAAAATTCCCTCTCACTTTTCCTCTTAAGGTTTCCCATTTAAGCAGTGAAGACACTGGATAGGAGACCCCAGTTGACCCAGCTGGACTGGGACAATAAAGACTGAACTACCCATTGTTTGGAATCAAACATTAACTTTTGTTTATTGAAGAAGGCTATTATGAAGTCTTGTTTGTGGGGCTGTTGACCTATTGCTCTACATTAGCAGGGGGATGATTCTCAGTACTCCTGGGGTACTTGACAATACGGCAGTGTTGATCTTTTTTACCTACCACGTATTCTTTGTTTTGTTTTTGTGGTGGTGTGGTGGTTGTGGTTGGAAACGATTTGTCGTGTCTTGTTTCCTGCTTCTCCTTCCTAACGAGTGCTCTTTGCTTCCTTTCAGCCATCTCATGTTTTCTACTTAATTGAAGTCCTTCTTTCCTTACTCAATAAGTATTCTCTTTCTCTACTTTGCCTTCATCAAAAGAACCATTTCTGAATTAGTATCACCTCATTACAGATCTGTTATCTGGTTAATTCACAGTTCTACAAAACCAAGACTTAAAAATGCCCAACACTTTGTAATAAAGGAGTTAGTAACCCCAATTGACTTATCACTGGTGCAGCACAGAAATGGTTGAGTTGCTATTATGTTTTTTCACTCGACTCGTTTTATGGACATATTTCCATGCTGGTGCATTTAGAACAGTGTACTTTGTTTTTATCAGCTAGATATTACTGTAACAAATATTGGGATGTGCTACATTTTCTATCATTCTCTTCTTTGTGGTCATAATAACGATTATTATCCTGAACATCATCTTAATAAATAACATTTATTGAACCCTTATTGTCAGGCATGACCAGATAGCAAGTATTTTACCTATATATTAATTCACTTGGTTATCATAGCGGTTATCCTACTACGTAGATGATTGGTAGCCTCATATTAGGCATGAGAAAACTGACACATAGAGAAGACAAAAATTTGCTTAAGGTCACCCTTCCAGTAAGTGGGAGAAACAGAATATAAACTTGGAAAGACTGTCTCCAGAGCCTACACTGGAGTTAACGCAAGCACTATTAATTAGTTGTTTTAATTTCTTTTTTCCCTTTAGCAATTACACAAAATGCAGCAAATAACATCATAATTTAGCAAATTTGGGGTGTGTTTATAGTTTTCCCTGAGCTCTTCATTATGTACATTGTGATTAAAAAAAATTTTTTTTAACATTTATTTATTGTTGAGAGACAGAGTGCGACCAGGGGAGGGACAGGGAGAGAGAGGGAGACGCAGAATCTGAAGCAGGCTCCAGACTCTGAGCTGTCAACACAGAGCCCAATGTGGGGCTCGAACTGACAAACTGTGACATCATGACCTGAGCCAAAGTTGGATGCTCAACTGACCAAACCACCCAGGCGCCCCATGTACATTGTGATTTTAAAAGCAGTGACTTCATCAAATAAAAGGAAAATGTAAAGTTTGAAAGGACTTTCTAAGTAATTTAGTTGAGTTGCAACAATGGTGAATATCAGCCAGTCGTGTTCTCACCAGGTCTCTGGAGTTCCTAGAGAACTTGCTTGAGACCTCTGCATGCTAATACATGTTTCTATATTGTGTCATGTTTATTTGTGTGGATGTCTTGTTCCCCACATGGCAGTCACGGTTCATTTTTTTTTTATTCTGCTAATTGTTTCACATTCAAAGACACCAATATTATCTTGGCTGAATTATCTCAGTATTTTAATTTGTAGCTTCTTTTCTTTCAAACAGGGGCAAAATTTATTGGAACTTTCCCTATCCCAGACACCTATAATCCAGATGATGATAAAATATATTTCTTCTTTCGTGAATCATCGCAAGAAGGCACTACTTCTGATAAAACCATCCTTTCTCGAGTTGGAAGAGTTTGTAAGGCAAGATATATTTATCTTACTTAAGGCATGTATGTATATGTATGAACAATTAATCATGTAATGTTGAAGTAAGAGTATTTTAATGTCCATCATTCGTAAGTAGTAGGATAAATTCAGACTATCACACTGGTATAATATTTTTTTGAGAGAGAGACAGAAAGAGAGTGAGTGAGAGAGAGAGAGAGAGAACACTAGCACGGTAGGGGCAGAGAGAGAGAGAGAATCTTAAGCAGGTACCACGCCCAGAGGGAGCCCGACACAGGGCTTCAACCCATGACCGACCGTGATTGTTACCTGAGCTGAAATCACAAGTCAGACACTTAACTGTCTGAGCTACCCAGGCTCCCCTTACATATATAATTTTTAACATCCAAAACGAAAAAGGAAAAAAAAAAGAGATTAATTAGAGCTTTGTTTCATTGTTGGTTTTGTTTTCGTCCAGTGTGAACTGTTATCCAGGTTTGAGTTAGATACTTGGCAGTTTGCTCCTTATATTGACAGGTTACCCCCTCACCAGTTTTCACTGTTCCCAGCAAGATCATGCATTGTCCTGACCCAGGGAAATTAAGATGCTTTTATACATTAGATTTGATTTTGAAATTGAAAGTAACATAATCACTGGAGTAACTGGAACACTAACAGAATCAGATCTGGTATTTTTTATGAAAACACATCACACATGTAAAATTATGCATCTTTCTAAGGATCAAATAAGTTGAAACTATGGTTAGGAATATATAGTAAATATTTTCTGGAGCATTCATCTAGATTAGGTTTTGAGAATACATGGGATAAGGGGGGTGGGGCGATGGGGACAAATAAACCGAAATGCAAAACATTTGTTTTGAAGAATACTGCGGTTAGTTTTTAAGATTGCCATTTTATGTAATTTATAGGAAAACAGAATTCTATGACATGCTTCCATTTTGTTCCTTTAAGGTTCTCTTTTGAGTGAATATAATCTTTATTGAATAATAATGCTACTGGAATCATACTTTTGACTTCAATATATTATTTTGTTGCTGGATTTGTCTTCACTGAAATAACTTTTCTTTCATAGCCAGACACCTTCAGTGTAAACTCTGTTATTAAGAAGAAGAGCTGTTAAGTTAATAAATACTCTCAGTAGGAAGCTTTTTTTGGTCTTGTCCAAACTTTTCATTTTCTTCCATGTGAGCCTATCTCTTTTTTGTCCCAATCTGTACCCTCGGGCTTTTGAGCATGTCCAGGGACAGAAATACAAACCATCACTGCACTTAAAGTGCTAATGAAAACATGGCTTTTGAATGAGGCCAGCTCATGAGCACACATCATTCTTTACCTAGTGTCCTGGCCAGGGATGCTGTCTCCCACTGATTCCTTCACCCCCAGGGGACAGAGTTCTCTAAAAAGCATCCTCATTCTTTCCGAGTCCAAGAATTCACAGTAATTTCTCTTGAAGCCTCTTGCCTAGAGCTGAATAGCCATTGCTTGGAGTAGTCGTAGTGTGTTAATGTACTGAAGCATGCTTTAAAACAACAGTCTCCCAACTCTGAAAAGCTGTACTGTGGATTGACATCATTTATATAAATGGCTACATTAAATATGTCATAAAAGATTTACAAGTTAGTTTCTGATGAACGCATATAACAAGTGAATGTTTTGTGGGCGAGTTCAATACTTATTTCTTAATAGGTCTAATCCATTCGATAGCAATTAATTCTTTACAAAGTACTCTTTTCACCCTAGTATTGTTGAAAGTTACATTAGAGGGGGAAAAATTTAGTTGCCCCACTTATAAATTTTTATATTAAAAATGTGATGTAAACATGAAGTATTGGCCCAGGGATATTTAGTTTTAATTATGAACAAACTCCTAAAGAAGTGAAAAGGCAGAGAGAATTGTAGCGCAGGAATCTTCCCACCAGAAAAAACTCTAAGGCCACACAGCAAGATTTTGTCATGCCATTGTGTTTGGATAAAAAGCTAACAAATTGTGAGATCAAATAAGGACATGTGATGGATGAATTTACTTTAAAGAAAAAAAAAAAGATGTAATGAAAGTCCTTCTTACATTAGTCTGTTTACTCAATCATTATTTCTAGTTAGTTGCATCTTCAGAATTTCCCACTACACGTATGATCTATTAGTCAAATGTTCACAATATTTGGTTCTACATGCACCTTTAAAATTTCTAAATTCAGCACGCCCTGCTATGTTTTTAACTTTACTTAATAATTTAGGATTAACGTGTATCAAACAGTGAGCACTTCTAAGTGGAGATTTCACTGACAAGATTAAAAATGACCTGAAATCTTTTTTTTAAAATGTGTTATGTCAAAACAGTAGCAAAAACTATGATAAGTTTAATTTAAAAAAACTGTTCAGCATCATCACTGTTACTGTTACGTATAATTTTCACATAAAAATGTTCCTCTGACATTTTTCAGAACATTTTATTCCTCTCTGTTAGTTCATTTTTTTTTTTACCCCCATGGGGTTATTGTGATATTGTCATTCAATTTTCAAGAAATGGTCACAAATGTATGTCTATGCTGCGGAACAAAATTGACTTCAATAGATATAAGCAAAGATCCAAGAAGGCAGAGATCATGTTAGATAGAATTAAGAGTGAACTGTGTACACTTTACTGAGTTTATAAAACTTTTTAGTGATGCGGGACCATCAAAGTATTCATTTACTTAACACATTTTACACAACATTGTGCTAAATAAACAGTTTTATAGAGAATAAAAAGAAAAGAGATTGGTATTTGTATTCGCTGAGCTTGCAACCGGGTAATGGTAATAGTAATGATATATGCATTAAATAAGAAAACACACAGATTAATATATAGAATTGGCAAATGTGGTAGCTGCCAAACTGGGGGAAAAAAAAAATCACAGGGTGTGGTTAGGAAACAAGGGTGGGTTTTCGATTGGCTATGGAAGGTTCCTCTGAGAAAGTAACTTTTGATCCAGGGTATTGAAAATGATGAGGACGCTCCAGGGCAGAGATGACAGGGCTAGGGAAGAATGCGCCAGGCAGAAGGAAAACACTTGTGAAATCTCAGAGGTGGGAAAATAGCATTTAAGCAATTGAGAGAGCTCTGCTGTGACGGGAGCATAACGACTAAATGGCAAATTAACAGACTAGTGATTCTTTTTCCTTTAGAACATACTTGAAATTTGCATAGTCTGGAGAAGTCTTATCTTCCCTGTTTGTGGTTAGGACTGACTGAGACTACAAATACTGACCCCATGATGTACATGAAAGGTCGCGACAAGCTCCCGTCCTATTGGATCCTCGATGCTTTTGTTTTTTTGTTTCTGTTTTTGTTTTTTAAGTCGATTTATTTATTTTGAGTGAGAGACACAGAGAGAGAGAGGGAGAGAGAGACAATCCCAAGCAGGCTCTGCACTGTTACTGCAGAGCCGATATGGGGCTCAAAGAACTCACAAACTACTAGGTTTTGACCTGAGGGAAAATCAAGAGTCCGTCACTGGGTACGCTTTAATTCTTCCTTACTCCTGTCCCAGAGACTTTGATACTTGCCCATAGACAGGGACTCCTATATTCTTAGTAATCGTGATTTCCAGAAGGTAAGGCAGAGATTAGGAAAATTCATAAAGAGTGTCTTCTGATTTTTGATACAAAAAAAAAAAAAAAAAAAAAAAAAAAAAAAAAAAACCCACCAAAAATGGTGTTAAGGGCATAGATTTTACAGTTGGACATGTTGAACTTGACCTGGCTCTGGGATATGCTGCCACAGCAGCCAGTTGAAAATATGAACCTGAGGCTCAGTAGTGTCTGGAATCATGAATTTGGAAATCACCAATGTATTGGTGGTTCTTGAAGTCATGGAAGTATGTACAATTGCCCAAGAAAATATGTAGTAAAAGATCAAAGAGCAAGGATAGAATCCCAAGCAACAATGATATTTAAGAAAAAACAGAGGAAAATGACCACAAAGACAATTGAGAAGAAATAGCTTGATAGTTGGGGGGAGAACTGGATGGTAGTGGTGTCACAAATCAGACATGAAAGCTGTCTCGAGAAGAAAGCAGTTGTCAGTGATGTCACACACCAAAAGGAGGTCAGGTAACATTGCAATTGAAAATCAGGTATTACATTTGGCATCAGGATATCATCAGTAACTTTTGCTCGAATGATATGGATATTCGCTACGAAAGCAGATCTAGGCTTCCATTTCCACTCTACTTCTTCCGAGCTCAGCTTCTTAACGGAGAAAATCAGGGTCCCCATCTCTTCCGTGACTATGTTACCAAGCAAATGAAAGACTTAGATGAAATCATATGAATTTGGATGAGCCATATACTGAGGAAGGAACTGGAAAACAAGAGGGACTTGGATACATCTCTATTTTCGAGCCATCAACAACATAAAAGATTGACATATGAATAAAGTAAGTTCCTTGTCATACTACAGCGGGTTAAGTGTCAAAAATCACATATACACACATGCACACATCATGCATACACAGTCTCACGTTTGGAGCCAGATCAACTAACTGTCATTGGGAGTGGAAGAGTGGTAGTGGCAGTGTGTGTGTAGTAGGGCCAGGTGGTGGTTAGAGGCAGGTTACTAAAGATTAATGGGAAGAGATGATACTTTATTAGTTTTGATGTTTGAAATCCCCGTTCTTATTTTGCCTTCTTTTTTAGCAATATTTGTACTTGGAAGGTGGATCTTATTTCCGGATATAGTCGAAAGAATTTGGAGACATGCCTGGTGATAATTTTGTGAACAGTTTTTTTGTGTGTGAGCAGTATGACCAATGCAAATTTTAGACAAGAGGTGCGAAAAGGGAGAGACACTAAATAGTGAAGAAGCTGAATTAAAGTATCATTTCGTAGGACAGTGTGGATCAATGAGAGCCTCAGGAGAATAAGTACCTTCCTCTAAAGAATATCTTTCCAACTCAGTCTGTTGTGTATGTTATCAGTTTACATGGCAGAACACATTTAGTAATGAATTATTTTTCAGTGGGATATCCCTAC